GTGCTTGCGTGCGTGCGGGTGGGCGTGTGTAAAGCAAAACACTTTGGGTCAAAGCCTAGTATTACTTTGGACTCAAAGTTTGGTTGGTTGGGTGATTTCCACTAAAAGTGCATTATGTCTAGAAACCTTTAAAACGGAGGACCCGTACATTATGTCTGGCGTGGGAATGCGCGAGCACCCACAGTGATATCTACAAATTAAATATCGTAATGAATGACGCGTTTTCTCACTGATTCGATGCATTTAAGACCTAATAGACGTTGGTGATTCACCATAAATAATTCGGAAGATACCGATGGATTTCTTAGCAGACTTAGAACCGCCGGAGCCCTTCGGGCAATTATTGGTGTGGAGCGCGCCCGACCACCGGCAAAACTCGCATCTCCAGGGATACGTTGGTTTTGTGCAATCAAAACCTTTTCCCTCATCAAGAGTTTGCTACCATCGGCTCACATTGAGCCAGCGCGGGGTACGGCGTCACATAACCGTAATTGTTGTAGCAAGGAAGGAAGGTTCGTCTCTTTCGGTACCTTTGATGTCCCAACGCAAAGTCGAACGGCATCTGGCCCCTCCACCAGACCACAGACCACAAGACAAGAGGTATGCTTCGCGGCCTGGCGGAAGGTTCTGCGCATAATGCGAAAAACCCACCAGCTTTCATCAGCAGATCACAGAGCCTGGTGCGCCGTTCTTTGGAGACCATGACACGCGCTCTCGAAGGGCTCGGTATGAAAAGTTTAAGCAACTCAATCTCAAACAGTGGCAGGTGTCCACATTGGGAAAACTGGCGGATCAGGGTGATCGGCGGGTCGTTTGGATTAGCGACCGGCGCGGGGCACGCGGAAAATCTAAATTGGGCCATCTACTAGAACCGTGTTATGAGTTTGTTTTGCCGTATGGCATCACTTCTGCCGGAGATGTTGTCTTTTATTTTCCTGACACTGGCTTGAAAAGTAAAGTAATTAATGTGACTCGGCAATACCAACCAAAATTATCGTATAACACTCTGGAGTCATTGAAAAATGGATACTTGATGTCTGGCAGGTAGAACGGACGGGTAGTTCGTGTCGATCCGTGTCCGTTGTTGGTCCTGGCGAACTTCTCTCCGGACGAGTCCCAGCTCTCTGCTGATCGTTGGGACATTGTCCACCTGGACCGTCTCGATGGTGTTCCGGAGGAGGTTCCGACGGTTCCGTCATCGGAGGTTCGCGAAATGGAAACCGCGCCGGAAGATCCACTTCTGCCGTCGCCGCCTACGGAGGAATATTACTAAATTCTTTAAATTCCAGATAATGGTTCATCGTATATATACCTCAAGTAAAGTGACTGGTAGTTTCGACATTAGTGCCAAGAATATCCAGACAGATGGCACACATTTCGCGCAGCTTTTGAAGACGTTTCAATACTATCGCATTACCGGTGTCACCGTTAGTTACCAGCCTCTATCGAATGCCGCTGGTGATACTAACTCTAGTGGCATTATTGTAAAATCTCGGGTGCCGAATCCAGTGTGCATGCCTTCTGGAATGCTTACTTTTATGAAGGACATGGATCAAGGGGATTTTGACCAGAAATATATGCAGGAATATTCGTATACAGAATACCTTGATGTTTCTCGTCCGTTTCGTACCCATAGGAAGACTACGCCTACAGCGACTGTGTACAACGGAGAGGCTTTTGTTACCATGTCCTTTCGTAACCAGTGATTTTTTCCGCAGACGGGCCCATCATCGGTGTGTGTGTGTGTGTGTGTGTGTGTGTGGTGTGTGTGGTGGGTGTGTGTGTGTGTGGTGTGTGTGTGTGTGTGTGTGTGTGGTGTGTGCTGTGTGTGTGTGTGTGTGTGTGTGTGTGTGTGTGTGTGTGTGTGGTGTGTGTGTGTGTGTGGTGTGTGTGTGTGTTGGTGTGTGTTGTGTGTGTGTGCTGGTTTGTGTGGTGTGTGTGTGTGTGTGTGTGTGTGTTGTGTTGTGTGTGTGTGTGTGTGTGTGTGTGTGTGTGTGTGTGTGTGTGTGTGTGGTGTGTGTGTGTGTGTGTGTGTGTGTGTGTGTGGGTGTGTGTGTGTTGTGTGTGTGTGTGGTGTGTGTGTGTGGTGTGTGTGTGGTGTGGTGTGTGTGTGTGTGTGTGTGTGTGTGTGTGTGTGTGTGTGTGTGTGTGTGTGTGTGTGTGTGTGTGTGTGTGTGTGTGTGTGTGTGTGTGTGTGATGTGTGTGTGTGTGTGTGTGTGTGTGTGTGTGTGTGTGTGTGTGTGTGTGTGTGTGTGTGTGTGTGTGTGTGTGTGTGTGTGTGTGTGTGTGATAATCACAGCACCTTGTGCTTCATTTGGAGCCCAGCGTCAATTCGGCCATGAATACACGGCCCGAAGAAAAGTTTGCCTGCGGAAGCATCAGTAGGCAACGCTCTGCTCTCCACTTCACGTCACTTCACGCTCAGCCTGGTCATGCACTGCGGCTCCTCTTTGGGCAAGACCGTGTTGCTCGAGTCGGTAGTTATGTCAGTGCAACGTAGTCGGAAGTGGTGTTTTACGGTTAACAATAATGTTGATAAGTCCGGGGTCGTTAGCCGATTTCGATCAGCCGGAACCACTCGGGCCGTCGTTGGTCTGGAACGAGCCTCCTCTACTGGAACCTGACACCTCCAGGGGTATGCTGAATTTAGAAACCCAAAATCATTCGGTTTCCTTAAACGGATGCTTCCATCGTCTCACCTGGAAGAGGCTAGAGGATCAGCTCTACAAAACCGTGTGTATTACACTAAGGAAGGAGATTTCGAAGAGTTCGGTGACTTCACCGTACCGGCAACTGGATGCAAGAGGTTGAATGAATCAGCGGAACAAAAAGTGCGAGGTTTCCTCAGAGCGCTATCATCAAGTTACGTACATGCTATTAGAAATACGTCGGCTTTTCTCCACAGGAGTAAGGCTTTCCTCCAGAGAGCTTCAGATAAGGTGGTAAGACGGTATAGCGTTTCGTGGCGTCATTTGCGCGGAGCAAGGAACGATCGCAACGTAGGAGAGAGGCATAGCAAGCAAAACACGTAGCGGATGCGAAAGACAAATGCATATGATGAGTAAATGCAAAAAACAAACTGCAGGCCATCTGATATCACACCAAAACGGCCGCTCGCTGAATGAAACCATGCGGCCAAAAGTGTAGCGCGGCGACACCTGAGAAAGCGACGGGTGGCGCGGGTGGCGCCAACGGCTGCCAGATGTCTGTCGTGTTAACGTGACATCTTGGGCCGAGTCAGAAAAATTGCTGTAGCAGGGTCGACAAAACCGAGCGTGAGCAACTTTCCGACAGCAGCACATAGAGCAAGGATGTGGAGATGTTAACCTGGGTACCACTCGTTATAACATGCTCCAGTCATCTCCCCAGCATTAGACAAATACTAGAATAAAGACGCATTTGACCACGTCAAACACTTCACGGGAGTATTTACGAGCCAAACCCTGATGTCTTACTGAGTGGGCTTGAGCCTGAAGGACCAGATAGTTCATGCAAAGACAGAAAAGACTATGAACGGTCAGGTGAGGCCCATCCAAGAGTGGTGGAAAAACTGTGTCACATGTCGGCGGTTTAATCAGTGGCATGCTTTAGTAATGTGACCTAACATCTGTGCGCATGATCGAATGATCGGATAAAAAACAAACCAATTTGGAAATATGGTGTCAATCGTAATGCGTTTCATATCTTATATCGGGAAAGGGGGGCACTTGGTGTACTCGTTCGGTAAACCATTTATCAAACATCAGGACAAAAAGTATCAGCGGAATGCCCCGCATTCACCTGCCTTAACTCCCTGGGCCACTCGATTAATGGTGCAAAATGTCTTGGTTTGGATAGGGTGTGGAGAACAATGTGAGCGAAGCAGGCTCAAAGACAAAGAATGTGAATTAATATGCTGGAAATGTCACACTTTCAGCGGGGACTCAACGCAAAAAGCAAAAGACAGCATGCAAAGGGTGTTAAAGAAGTGTCCGAGGAGGGGAATATCTCACAACTAATGCACATGTGTCAATAATGGTTTTTTACGATGAGACGTGGAAAGAACGGGTTATCCATACTGAGGCAGGTTCAAATAGAAATGAAATGTCTCCCACGTAATTCAGACGTACAGGACCAACTGGTTAAACCTCTTAAAGAGAGTGATCCACATTTATATGGGGTTCTAAAATGAAATAGCTATATTGAAGACCTTTCGGTGCTGTTCACAACCCTGCACTTCGTAAGACCTATGCCCCTCTAGTTTAAAAGCTAAATGCCTGTGAAAATGAGGAGAGTATTCCGGGAAAGTATTTCAAAGTCACCTTGGCATCCATTATGTCATAACAGCGTCATTAATATCCTTTCATTCCATAACCCAGCAGGTAATCAGGGCCAAGAAAAAAGTTGCCGGGGCCTTCATATCAGGCGTTCGTGAGCACCATCCCCAGATATATCGGCTGTCAGCTGGCTTTAGATCAATGTTGTGCGAGGTACGATGACGTAATCAAACCATGACGCATAGAGGAGCATATTTATTCAACAGAGAGTTGCGCTGTCCAGAGCAATCCGCTCCACTTAAAAAGAGTATACCAACAGATACAAGTGAGTTTGTTTCTCAATATCTGATGTTTGCTTCAATATCCTCAAATGTGAAAGAGTCCCTTTAATTGATTTTAATTAAGTTCAGATTGGTTGGTGAGAGTGAAGTACATTCAACCATTAGAAGCGTGTTTGGAATTAAAGCATGCCGCATACAGATGTCATTTTTTGCAAATGTCTCGAGCATGTATTTTGTTCGGGTACGAAACAATTAAATTTCGGTATGTGTATTGTGCTTGTGAATCGGTTTTTAAAGTGTAATATTTATCTTGAAAATGACCACAGACATGATCGAAGCGTTGAACGAACAGATAAACTTTATTAACATTCGGTATCGACACACCGAAAAAGACAAACGCACCATACGAAGCCTTGAACGTACGACCAAGGTCATAAACACGGAATATGCTGTGGCGTACAACCAACAATGTAAAATAGGAAGCCTGTTCGCGTAATACTAGCATATATATATATATATATATATATATATATATATATATATATATGCGGTCTTTTGCGCCTTTTTACAAGTAGCGCCTTTCGGCGTTCACATCCAAGTAACCACTGACCATGAACCCAGCGTGAGGCCACCGCGATAAGCATTGCTGTTTTGAAATTTGACCCTGCCTTATGAAATGCAAATTTGATGCAGAAAATTAGTTAAATGTGATAGAACTTGAACTAGTTGGTTTTGTTTTCGGTCTACAATCACGGAGACATGAAATCGAATCGAAGCACCCGAAGCCCAAGCTCAATATCAACTTTACAAGAGTCGCTCTCTCATGGTTCAGTCCAGGTCTACATAAATATTATACAGATAGTTCTTTTCTTGCGATAATGAAAAATGTAAAGCTGCGTATTTTTTGAAAACCTTGACTTGATCATACATGCGCTGAGTGTTCATTCGAAATTTATCTATTGACGCTGCCGGCAGCCGGCCGTGGACAAGGCGGACTAGTGGATGGATCTTCAAGATAGCGTTGCGGCCGTCGGAAAATGAAGCACCCACAGCGTACGGCTGTGACGGTGCTGCGCTGACGCCTGCGTGGATTTTCCCCTAGTAGGACATGGAGAACATCTAAAGAATTCCTGAAGAAGAACTGAAGATCTGGCTGTCGCCGACATGGAGATCGCGGGAGAGCTGAACAGCTGGAAAGATCCAGGCGAACTCGCAACGGAAAAGGATGATGCAGGGAGAGATGTTGGTAAGGTGGAAGAGGCAGCGGTGGATCTTTGCAGGCGGGAGACGCAGGAAACGCACCAGGGGCAGCCAGTGGATGTGGGTTGGCGAGAGAAGGGTACGCAGCAGAAATGCCTGGCGGCTCGGGCTCAAACCAGTTGGCTTTGCGGCTTCCAAGCCGCTGGGAGGTCACAAAAGGGCAGGAGGCCGAGTCGGCGGGAGAATGGCCAAGCAGCAATTCCTAAGTGTAAACGATGTTTTTATCGAAACGCAGGACAAAATCGCAAACGAGGACAAGCGCGATCGGTGTTATGGGGGCTTGCTGTCGTACCTGGGCGTTATGACACCAGGCGTTAAGGCTGGGGGAAGGATGCAATTACTGGCAATCGTCTGAAAGTACGTTTTTCTCAACGTGCGAACGTACCGAGCGGGGAGAAGCATCACCTGAGCTGTCCCCTGACGGAGATAGGACTACTCGCCTGGTTGCACCGTGTTTACTCAACTGTGCTCTGATCGCGCCACGCTCAATCCATAACACGTAATCATGCCGAGTTCGCGACGGCGAGGTCGAGGTCGGGTCGAGGATGTCAGGTCTGCAGTTTGGGGGATGTGAATGGATGAGAAGCCAGCATTTCAGGTTAACTTTGCGGAAATGAGCTCAAATACACAGTTTCGTAGGGGGTGATTTGTCTTGGACGAATCATCCTGCAGCGCATGTTCACAACTCATACCTGGAATCGCCAACGCACCGCGCGCTGATCACTGGTCACGGTTCACCTCTTGTCCGCCTGCCTTAATCCAAATAAATGTATAATTTGTAATGTTGTCGTGTAAATGGATAAGCAGCTACAGTGTAGTAATTCTTTTCACGGCAGGGCAACTCACTGAACCCTTGTGACAAATCTGGGTCGCCTCCCGGACCAAGGACAGACAGGAAACCAAAAAATCCCTGAATATGTGCATGCTTCAAGCTCTCTTTGGGAATGCTTGACCCTGATACCTTATACAATAAACCTGAGTTTGGCATCTGCCGTCATTTTATCAAGGTGTGCACACCTTGATCAGGGCTTACGTGCAGTCCTATCAACAAAATTCTGAAGTGCCTCATCCCCGGCTGCAATCATTGTCAAGAGGTTGGTAGCTGCAATACCGGTTTCCGGAGTGGACGCTAAAATTCTTCACTGCGATCTTGGCATCCGTTGGGTGCAGCAAGGGATAACCTTGATAAGAACTAAACGGCTAGTTCTTCATATGCGTTTCGCCTGGAGGAAAGCCCTGCTGCCGTGTCAAGAAGGACTCCTGGAGGAAATCTGCTCAACCCTTGCGCTCTTAGCAGAGATTCAACGGGCGGGGAATCTCAGCTCCCTTCTGTGAATTTCAGCTCCCTTCTGGGAATTTCAGCTCCCTTCTGGGAATTTCAGCTCCCTTCTGGGAATTTCAGCTCCCTTCTGGGAATTTCAGCTCCCTTCTGGGAATTTCAGCTCCCTTCTGGGAATTTCAGCTCCCTTCTGGGAATTTCAGCTCCCTTCTGGGAATTTCAGCTCCCTTCTGGGGGCGCGACTGGCTCAGGGTGCGGCTGAAGCGATTTCCAGCACCGCCCGAGCGCGACTGCTCAGGACTGGGGCGAATGTAGCGGCCTAACCTAGAGACGCAACTTCGTCCAAAATATCCTCCCGCAGCCCAGGCCGCCCCGACCAGCCAGTGATTCAACCCGCAAAAGCCAGCAGTGCTACAATGCTGGTCCACCATCAACCCGCAAGCACAAAGCTATTGCGATAGGCATCATTTCGCCTTTATTTTATACCTATGCAATAAAGTGGGCACAAAATGGCATGGCAGCATCATCTTATACACGGAATCGTTTGGCTACCACCAGTGATATTGCTTAGACACCAGCTATCAAACTACCTAACAATGAAATTCTAGGGGCACCAAAGTGGAGCTTAAGCATTATGACAGCTTTCACCTATAAATGAGAGGAAAGAGAACGAAATGAAGCTTGCCTATCACAAAAAAACGTGCTTAAGATTTTACCCTTCAGCTCATCTCAGTAGACCATGGGTCATTTCTTCCATAATCGCATGCATCAACTCATGGGTCTGTACTGACAGAGTAAAGAAATGCCGGACGTTTCAAACAATGAAATGTTTATGTTCATTACACTACATGAGCCACAAACATAATTCAACTGCGTCGCAATTGCCATAATTTCATAACCCACCCTGAAGAGTCAGAGTCATTCTCTTATTTCGTGTGTGCTGTCCTTAAATGGATCCATTTTGCAACAACACTAAATAAAAACCGCATGGTACCTTTGAAATGATCGATGATCCATATTTCTCTCCCAGAACTATGCATTTGTCGCCATGCAACCATCGCCGCACCGTCGGTGTGATACTTCGTGTAAGCAAAGATTGTGTCACAAAGTCTACATATTTCCTTTGATGACTGAGGAATAGTATGCACCGTAGCATGGGGAATCCACATTCATGTTGTGTGCGTGATTTAGACGTGCGTGGCCTGATTCAAGCGCTAGGTTTTTTGAAGCCGACAAGAAATTATCGGTTGGGGAAGTGGATATTGGCGAAAAGGGGAGTGCTGTGGAAATGAGGTGTTTGGTGCACAGTGCAATAAAACGGCTGCCGAAGTTCAAAACCCCTGGGAGAACTCGTGACAGACAGCAATATTTCATATCCACAAAGATTTGCTCCTCCAGTGACATCATTGGCGTTGAACAATGCCACAAAAACGTGACATCTTGTTACATGCTACAGAAAAGTTTCTATGACATCAAAACAAAAGTGTGAAAATAATATCCAGACGACAGTTTTATAAAAAAAGGCTGCCGTGAACGAGTGTAATTTGTTTCCAGATTTCCGAGCTGCTTCTTTGCCGCGTTGCAAGCCAAAGAATGGCCGTGGCCACTACGCATGATTTTTCGCATATAGCAGTTGCGGTGCTTTGTATGTAAGCTAGTTTTCATAACATTGGGGATTGGTTGTTAGAATCAGGGTCCCAATTTCTGTTATGACAGCGGACAGCATTGGAAAGCAATCAGCGCTCAGCCCCGGCACAGCTCTGCCCGCAACATGGCGGTGACTTAAGAGGAGCAGTTACTTGTGGCGTTGGAGTTCGAATAATACATCATACTGAATAGTTGCGTTGGTGTGCACTGATGCATACGCCTTTGTTTGTTTTGTTTTTGTCCGCCTCTAAAGTTTATCTGAAGCGCCCGCCTTCCGATTCACCCACCAACCCCTGGTAGCGATCACGCTAAAAATCAGGTAACGTCACAGGGTATGTCGCACCGTGTCGAGTATAGGGTATGTTAAACTCCGATCACCACTACCTGCCACTGAACTGGAGTTGCATGTGCGGATGGAGGGGCCATGCTTAATGCAACAAACCCAGATTTGTTTGGGGCCTCACTTCAGAAACGCGTTCCCTAGAAAGGCTCAGAAAAAGCTTACATAAAAATGTTCCAATATGGCCGAGGCATGTGCCAGCATGCACTCATGATTCCAGATTCCACAGCCCATTCAAGACCAAACCTTGGGTGTGATTCCAATGTCTCCTCCCATATGCTTCGTTCCGGATCGCCCTTTAGCAGATTTAGACTGAACCCCTAAGATTAAAGGTCTTTTAGAAAACCACTGCACAAGACAACAGTGCTTGCGACATGAGCCCTGTACCCACGACTATCCGGTCCTGAATTTTGTTTTACAAATGCCAGAAATGTGTGACGCCAGCGTAACATAGCGTAATGCTTGTTACGTTCCATCTAGCCATCTGACGTCATCTTACCTCAGGCGTGTCTGCATCATTGTATGCCATTTTTGGTGAATCTAACCGTCATGTCGCAATCTTCAAGCCTGTACCCATACCCGAAAATTCCCCAGGATCTGTACCCGACCCACCTAGTTACCCACTAAATAAGGGTACACGTCGGTTTACTTGTTACAATTTATTTACAGCTGCCCAGTCAAGACAAGTAGAATAGTGAATCTACATGATCGTACAAACGCTTGATTCACTGGGTTTCCTGCTGTTAAGCGTTCAAAATAATCGCTTACGCATCAGTATATTGGTTTTAACTAATTTCAGTGAAAATGAATTAAGAATGTACAACTTTCACAGGCTCCATTACACCGATGGATATTACCAGCATGTGGGTAATTTCCACGGTTCGTCAAAGGCGACAGAGTACCGGGCTGTACATGACGTCACACGGGACAGAGTACCGGGCCGTGCAGCGAGGCTTTAACTGGTGTGCCAGGCTGCCAAATGTTGTTGGTTAGTGTTCGTGTAAATTGTTACTTGTATTAGGATGGTGGTAAATCCAGTTTTGTTTACCATGCTCAGTTAGTCTCAAGGCAGATACGGAATAGCATCACAAAAAAGGATTGCAAAATTTCAGGCGGGTGGAAAACCGTACTTGGTACAAGAGTACAGTTGGACAAGGGTGCCATCCCCGTGGTGCAGTTACAGGTTGAAATGTCCCGTACCATTGGCTAAAACATTTATCACGTCCCGACGCGAGCAGTAGCATGAATGCGCCCCAAGCCCCATGCAGCCATACTCAACCAGACGCGGTAGCTTTGCGCAAACCGCCAGTTGCCCCAGAGATGTACGTTCACACCCGCAGCAACAGGCCATACAAAATGCATTTGGCGAACGGTGGCGGACGGTTTCAGATTGCGTGGACGAGATGCACATGCTGATTCGAGCGACAAAGCTGCAAAGCCCCTATACGCGAACCACAAGGGGAACGCGTCAAT